CCGTCCTCTTCCTCCTCCTCCTCCTCCTCCTCCTCCTCCTCCTCCTCCTCCTCCTCCTCCTCCTCTCCACAAACCCCTCTCCCTTCTAGCACTGATGACGTTCCCTAGTTGGCTGATGAAACCTCTGCAAGAAAACCACCCAGCTCAGAGAGCACCCAGGACCCCTCATTTCAACCCTGAGCTCCAAATATTCTCCTCTGTTCATTTTCTGGCTCTTTGAGGATTCTATGAAACTGACACAGTGTTAGTAAAGAAAACCTGGCCTTGTATAAACCTTTTCAGACCCGTCTTAATTCCTCCAGAGGAGACGCTGCTTATTCTTCTGCTGCCTCGAAGGCTTCCCGGGAGGGGTGTGCAAGATGGCTTCTGAACAAATGGGGCAAAGCTGCCCTCTCGTTTCCATGGTTCCCTGGCTTTCGAGCATTAGCGCAAAGGCTTTCTTGGCTATAAAAAAGCAGAATAGCTGATACCTAAATCAGCTTTATTTTTATTGACATAGCAGGTCCATCCGTAAATATCCCCGGCCTTTCTCCACCTGGTTTCCCTTGTTTTTTCCTTGGTGCGGCGAGGACGACAACGGCTGCGTTCTCCAGGGCGAAAGGAGACAAGCGTTGTGTTTTGTGCTCTTTTTTTTATCGCACAGGTATAACCTGGAGTCCAGAGAATGGATGACCCTGGGCGGTTCTGTGAACACCGTGGGGATCAGATACGGCCATTCGATAGCCTTACACGAAGTAAGTGGCTTTTTTTTTGGTTTTTTTGTTTTAATTTTACGTCCTTGAGACTTTTCTAACTTTGGCTCGGCTCTGAAACCTGGCTTCGATCGAAGTGATGGAGGTAGTCCTCATGTTACGACAGTGTCTTTGAAGTCCCAACGGCCCTGAACCTGTCACGGTTCCGATAGACGAAGCCCTTGAAAAGAACTTTGAGGCAAGGATTTCTTCCTTAAAGAACATTTTATTTAGGAAACAAGACATGGGCACGTACAAAGGTGAACCCAAGACTAAAATCCTGTCCCTCGGGCTACAAAGTTAAAAAATTGCAATTCCCACCCCAATTTGCTGTCATAAACCACACTCACCAATTGTTTCGAAAGGCTGCCGGCTCTCCTCCCAGCACTTTAGCCTGCCAAAATGTTAATCAGCATTGACCTTGGTTCTCACGGACAGAAGCTGTTTTGGCTAACTGAAAACTACACCTCCCCTCCTTTCTCCTTTAGCTAAAATCTCAGAAACTAATATTGGGTATGTCTAGTTCAGGGTTAGGCAACCTTGGCTCTTTTATGACTTCAACTCCCAGAATTCGTGAGCCAGCATGGTTCAGCTTGGAAGCCTCTCCCTTTCCCCTCAGCATGGCTGGCTCAGGAATTCTGGAAGTTGAAGTCCACCAGTCATAAAAGAGCCAAGGTTGCCTACCACTGGCCTAGTTTAATGAAGAGAAGGATGAGGGGTGACAGGATAGCAGTCTTCCAGTATCTCAGGGGCTGCCCCAAAGAAGAGGGAGTCAAGCTATTCTCCAAAGCACCTGAAGGCAGGACAAGAAGCAACGGATGGAAACTAATCAAGGAGAGAAGCAACCTAGAACTAAGGAGAAACTTCCTGATAGTTAGAACAATTAGCCAGTGGAACAACCTGCCTCCAGAAGTTGTGAATGCTCCAACACTGGAAGTTTTTAAGAAGAGACTGGACAGCACTTTGTCTGAAATGATATAGGGTTTCCTGCCTGAGCAGGGGGTTGGACTCGATGACCTCCAAGGTCCCTTCCAACTATTATTATTATTATTATTATTATTATTATTATTATTATTATTATTATTATTATTATTATTATTATTATTAATGTGGCAACAAAGACAAAAATGAAAATGGCTTCAGTTCTGTTTGACAACGGGGACTCGGGGACCATTATTGATCACAACTCCTAGCAACATCCCCCTATGGCAGGGGTAGGCAACCTTGGCTCTTTTATGACTCGTGGACTTCAACTCCCAGAATTCCTAAGCCAGCCAAGCTGAGGGGAAAGGGAGAGGTTTCCAAGCAGAGCCATGCTGGCTCAGGGATTCTGGGAGTTGAAGTCCTCAAGTCATGAAAGGGCCATAGTTCCCCCATGCTGGCTCAGGAATTCTGGGAGTTGAAGTCGACGAGTCATAAAAGAACCAAGGTGGCCTACCCCTGTCCTATGGTCACCTGATCAAAGTTCCCATGCCGGGCAAATGACTCACATTCACGACGGTCACCGTGTCCCTGGATCGCGCGATCTCCTTTTGCGGCCTGACAAGCGAAGCTAACGGGGGAAGAAGCCAGGTCCCTTAGCCAGCGTGTGGGTAACTTAACCCCGGCAGAGATTCACTTTACAACTGCGGCGAGAAAGGTTATAAAATGGGGTTGAAGCTCCCTTTTCTAAATGTCTCTCTTAGCGACCCACATTTTTGGGTTCCGCTGCGGTTGTACTTTGAGGGACTTGTTATCACAAGACCCTTTGCTGGTTTCGCCCAGGTGGTTGGAGAAATTGGGCAGATACAAGGTTGCACCCATTCATTTAATGACCGTTCAGAGTTACAACGCTGAAAAAAAGTGACTTAGGACCGTTTTTTACACTTAACGACCGCCGTAGCATCTCTGTGGCCACATGATCAACATTCAGCCGCTTGGCAGCTGACTCCTATTTACGACGGTCGCCGCGTCCCTCGGGGTCACGTGATCTCCTTTTGCGACCTCAATGGGGGAAGCCTGATTCGCTTAACGACCGTGTTCCTGACTTAACTGCAGCGATTCACTTAGCCACCATGGCGAGGAAGGTCGTAAAATGGGGGCAAACCTCGCTTAACAACCATCTCCCTTAACAACCAAAATTTGGGGCTCCCTTGTGCTTGCAAGTCAAGGACTCCCTCTCCTAGTGGAGAGGCCAGAGGGAACTCTTAACGCGTCTGTCAATATCCTTCCTCTTTCTTCTAGAGCGTATATATTTAATTTGACATATATTAACTGCAGCAAGAATTGTATTTGCTCAATATTGGAAAAAGGAAGATCGACCAGCGGAGGAAGTGTGAATTAAAAAAATCTGAAGAGTGTGCAGAAATGGATCTTTTGACATTGAAAAGGAAAGAGTAATAATAATAATAATAATAATAATAATAATAATAATAATAATAATAATAATAATAATAATAATAATAATAATAAAGTTGGAAGGGATCTTGGAGGTCATCTAGTCCAACCCCCTGCTCAGGCAGGAAACCCTATACCATTTCGGACAAAAGGCTGTCCAGTCTCTTCTTAAAAAATTCCATCATGGTGACCAAAATTGGATGCCGTATTCCAAGTGTGGCCTTACCAAGGCCTTGTAAAGTGGTATTAACACTTCACGTGATCTTGATTCTATCCCTCTGTTAATGCAGCCTAGCACTGTGTTGGCCTTTTTGGCAGCTGCAGCACACGGCTGGCTCCTATTTAAGGGATCGTCCACTAGGACTCCGAGAAGATTCAGTTTATTTTAGAACATGGGGTACTTTTTATTATTGGCTAGAAAAACGAGGTAGAGAGAAAGGAACTGGATACGTATTAGTAAACTAGACAGTGAAACCCAGACAATATGTTGCTGGTACTATTTTAAGCACTTGTGATTATAAAAAATAATTGTCTGTCTGTCTGTCTGTCTGTCTGTCTGTCTGTCTGTCTGTCTGTCTGTCTGTCTGTCTATCTATCTATCTATCTATCTATCTATCTATCTATCTATCTATCTATCTATCTATCATCTGTCTGTCTGTATATATATAAAAATATCTATAAATATCCTCTCTCTTTCTTCCAGAACAAAATCTACATGTACGGAGGCAAGGTAGACGAGAGCGGCAACGTAACCAGTCAGCTCTGGCTGTTCCACATCTCCAACCA